AGGAAGGAAGGAAGGAAGGAAGGAAGGAAGGAAGGAAGGAAGGAAGGAATGAACTTTGCAGCTATACTTCTCCAAGTGGTGATGGAGTCTTGTTGGGTGTCAAGGGTTTTCCGCTCGCCTTTGTTCATGGTTCAAAGTTCACACGTCCATTTTTGCCACCATGTTCATACATGGAGGCGCGGCGCATATGACGCGACCTCTGTCTCCTTCTCTTTCTCCTTCTCCTTCTCTTCCTCCCTCTTTTCCTCCTTCTCCTTCTTCTCCTTCTCCTTCTACTCTTCTGTTCCATGCCTCCTATGCTAGTTTTTTATCCTTTTCCTTTTTCTCCTTCTCCTTCTACTCTTCTGTCCCTTGCCTCCTGCATTTTTTTCTCTTTGTGGCAACCCCTGGCCACAAACAGTGCGGAAAAAAAAATCACAACACGCGTGGGAAAAAACTCCCGAAAAGAAAAAGGTCGTCCTTTCTTTGGGGGGTTCTGGCAGTCTGTCAGGCGATCACCATCCTGACTTTGCGAGAGATGCCAAGCTGGGAAGATCGCTTGTTGGAGCAATGGACGGTAGAATGATGTCATGTGGTGCTCGGTTCTGTTTGTCCATGTGGTGTTCATTCTTGTCTGAGGGCTGAAATTGTTCTGCTGTCTTTCCAAATAAGAGCAGACAGACAGCCCAGGAGAAAAAGATTGCCACGTCGACCGAATCGACTCGTGGCTGCCATGCGTTGAATGTGAATTTCTCGTGCTTGAAATCTACCCCTGGCAGCCACGACCTATGAGCGCTGGTCAGCTATGCGGGTGCAAAGCACCATTATTTTGGCTCAATGTTCCAGTATATGGGTTTGGCTGAAAGCCACACCCCAAAGCATGTTGATGAATCATTAGGTTAAGAACAGGAATTGATTCGATGGAGCCAAACCCAAAGGATGAGCTTTCCAGTGACCTCATTCTCGGATTAGAAAAACCATTTATAATTGTACCGATGCGACCCTCGGTGCGACTTCGACATCGTTTGACATCGGGACGTGGCGGTTCGGGGCGTGGAACGGCGTGAGTTACAAGGTGGAACGGCGCTCGTTGGTCTCGAGGTGGTGGTTCTGCTGGTGACGCCCTTGCTGTTTGTGCTGGTGGCCCTGGCCCCTTGGCAGAAAAGGACCTGGGAAACAGTGAAGAAGGATAGAGGAGCTGCAGAGCCAAAAACTGCCAGGTGGGGTCAGCGTGTTTCAGAACGACTCCTGGGATCTTTTTAGGCCAAATTTTGAGTGAGAGGGCCATCCCACTGACAGAAAAATGGTCGAAAAGCCTCAAACTATGACTCCTTGAAACAATTCGCTGGGCCCAAGATTATGGCCCAGGACATTTTTGGCAAGCCAAGCCACCATCTACTTAGTCCTCCTTTCAATGGACGGGTTGCTGTGATTCTGAACCTCCTTTGATTTGTGGAGGATATTGTGTTCTTCTTGTTGTGCAATTCTTCAGGGTGTCTCTCTCTCTCTCTTTGGAGAAGGACACCTGCATAAACCACAGCACCGAATTGAGGATGCCACATAGGGTTGGCAGTCCCCCGCATCCATAGATAAGCCGATGGGGCACCCACCCATGGGTGCGGATGCAAAGTCCATCTCCGATATTAATACATATTAATACCAAGACCCTCCATGCAGGTCACCATTTGTTCCTGTTGAGAAAGGACCAGGTCTTGGATTTGATGAGTTCCTATTGACCGCCTTCTGGTCACCAACTGAACAGGCTCCAATAGCCCTGCAAAGAGTTGGGGCTTCTCGGTTGGCCGAATTTCCTGGTTCCGTTGGCCTTCTTCACTGGCGATGACCCGCTTTAGGCATGTGACAGACGATGACCTTCAGCGATGACCCGCTGGTTTCATTTGGGTTGTATTAGAACAGCAATGAACCCCCAAAGAAGATCTCCTGGAAGAGACAAAATTTGCAACATATATAATTCGAATTAGAACAACAACCATTTGGTTGGGGATCTCACTATTAAATTACAAAACGAACGCAGAGTCTAGACCCAGGCACGGATTTTGCTCTTCCGGCACTTTCTGGAGCCTTTCTGGATCAGGCACCAACCTGGAGCAGGAGGGTTTGGGAGGTCGTTCCTTTTGGGAAGGGTACGAGATGGTAGTATAATCTCCAAACCCGACTCGGTCCAGCTTTTGTTTAAGACTAATTGCCAACACCAGCCCAGGGGGAAGTACCTTTAAGTGGTGACCTGTGGTGTTGGAGAGTTGGATGGGTGCTGGTGTGATGGAGATTGGGGGGCATTCGACTGACAAGATCGCATTCCGTGGACCTCCTTTCTAGAACTATGACTCTGACCACTGAAAACCTGTTGTGACCACTCCGTGGCCCTGTTGTGACTCTGACCACTTAATCTTCGCAGAGAATCCAGTGAAAACATGCGAAAACCTCAACACCAGACAGGTTCGAATCGCCACAACAGGCGGCTGTGGTTGTGCGAGCAGATCTTGAAGCCCTGGGCCTTGGGCCTTGGAGTCAAACCCCACGGGCGCCGGACCAAAACGCATCAGTCGTTTCGCCGTCCCACACCTTGTTTGTCAGAGAAGGGACCTAGGGACACCATTATCCATCCATTGGAGTGTTTGACTTTGAAAATAAGTCTATTCACAAGTCATTCCAAAGCACATTCTTGACCTTCCAATTCACCCCATAGCATCAAAAGCACGAAGCTAATAAAGAAAGGTGGACCTGCCTAGGAGGCCACCCCGGTGATGCCTGCGCAAGATCCTTCATGTTTGACCTTTGTCACGTTTGCCAGTATGTTTGCCCTATATATATATATATATTACACTGAACAATCATATTTGAGAGAGCTCTATCCTTCATCCGCACGTTGCAAATCCGCCATGGCGGAAATCGTCTTTCCCTTTTCCATCGAATCACCTGCTTTTTTTCCCCAAACACCACCCCGTCGCCTTTTCGTCCTTTGCCGCCGAGGTCATGGGAGATGTGGCTGCGGTGGCCATCACCTCGCTGTTCCTGTCCATCCAGGATTGGATATGGGCAGATACGGACAGATCTTGACCGGGGGAGGTGGTTGGGCTGCCCCAGGACCTGGTATGAGACCCGCTCTGAGAATGGGAATGACTGGGATGACTACTTTAGTTTTGGGTGCGTATCACGAGATATCACCAGCAGTCAGCAATCTTCATGGATTCACACGCCTGTCCGCAAGAACTAGAGGTTGTCCCAGGGCTGGTCCTGGGACACTCCCCTCAAGCGAGCCAAGGGAGCTGGGCCGACGGCGCCATCCAAATCGCTGCCATGGTGTGCGTGGATTGGAAATCCCCACGCTCTCCGACTCTCTCCCATCCCGTCCCTGGAAGGAAAGACCTCTCCCATTTTCTCCACTGCTTCTAGCTTTGTTTTCCATGGCATTGAGCTGAGGTGGAAGAAAAGGAACACGGAACACAGCACATTTAAGCTGAGGAAAAGGGATATACACTCCCTGAAATCATCCATGGAAGTGGAACAACCACCTGTTTGTAGGGCCATGCCATCCACTTCCAGAAATTAGCTGCTCCACCAAGAAAAGAGACCTGCTCCACAAAACCCCGTCCTTGTCCTCGCCTCCGCGCACCGTGCGATGCTCCAGGAACCCTCCACAGACTTTGTGTTTCTGTGCGTTCGACTCGCCATGCCGCCCGGGGCCCGTCTGGTGAAACTCGTGGAACCATGGACCGGATGTGGCCGGCTCTGACTGAAATCCAGGGTCAGATGTTTGGGCCACTGGCCAGGCTAGAAGGGGCCTCATGAGCTTTAGTTGCTACTCTGTGTTATGTTTGTGTAGTTGGTCGATTTGGAGAGTTCTACCAACCTGGAAGGGTTTTTTTTCTCCAACGAGGTCCCAACATGGCCGAATTGAACCCCCACATGATCTACAGTGTCCCATATAGAGGCCCTAGACCTTGTGTTTCTTTTCATGTCCAGTCGTGATCCTTTTTCTGACTTCCTTTAGTGGCTCTGAACTTATAGTTTCACCTCTACTATCTTCCACTGCAGAGGGCAACATCTATAATAGACCTCTTTGGACTTCGCTCGGTGTGCGCTCCGACCTGCGGACGAGGCCCTTGGGCTTTCTGGCCTGCCTGGGCCAGGGCGTGGCAGTGCCTCACTCGTGGGCGTTTTGGGTGATGGGGCGCGGCCAAAGGTCAACTCATGTTCGGATGAGGTTTCAGAGAAGATCCTTGACCAGAAGATACCAGAAGTATCAAGAAGTATGTGTTGAAATCTTTTGTATACTTCTGGGTACTTCCCAAAGGTCCTCTAGGACGACCAGGACGTCTTTATCCATGGTATTTGGTGATTCTTTTTTTGAGAGGTCCTGGATCCGCCGGTCGTCCACAGACGGCCCAAACACGACCCAAAAGGACGCCCCCAACAAAATTGATTCGACGGAAGAGGATTCGCAATGTTTTTTGTTTGTGTGTGTGTGTGTCAACCCCTGTCTCCAAGGGGCATCCAGCATCCACCACTAAGTGTGTTTTTAGGCATGACTTGTAAATGTTGTGAGGCTTTGAAGCATTTGTTCTAATGGACTCATGACTCATTGGATCATTTCGGATCGGAGTTTGGTGTGGTGTGAGACATGACCTCCGCTCCCAAATGGAAACGGACAAAGGGATTGTGTCCGTTGAAAGGAGATGCCACTGACACCAGCAACGATTGGTTCAATGGAAGATGTAACTAAACCAAACAAACCGTTATTGTGCCAGCCAACCTCCACGTGTTCGATGGATCCAGATTGGTATTGCTCCCAAACACGGGGGCAGTCGCCGACATAGGTTTTCAACCTTTGCAATCATATATGTTCCCCTGCTCTCCCCTATGTTCGACCAACGCACTGGTAGAATTGCAGTCCCCATCTTTGAGACCAATCGGACACGGCTCAAAAGACCAGACCCTCTGAAGCTTTTTAGTCTATTAGTGGGACCCCTATTTAAGCCACATGGCTAGTCTCTCATGGGGTTTGGTCTTTTTTCCCGAACCTGGGGTCGGAACGCCTGGGAGGTCCTACTTTAATAGCTAGACTCCTAGACACTCCATCATGTATAGAACAAATATACCTATATAAAGAATCCTATACACTGGTCCCTCAAAGCACCCCAATGTTGGTAAATAGTGTCATATGTTTATACATGGAGTGTTTGGGATACATACCTACAACCTACACCATCCTACATCGACCAGACTCGCCGTGACCAGCGACCTCCCAGTGTTGGGGCTTGCGCTGGTGCACGCCACCGCTGCAGCCGGGCGCGGAGGCGGGGCCCGCGGACCGCGCGGAGGCGGGCGATCCAATCGGATACAGTGGGCCATCAGAGTAGATAGGGGTCCAAATAGACCAAACTTGGGGACTGGGACTGTGCCATCTACTCTCAATCCACTAGAATTCTATGATTTAGTTGGAAGATGTGGGAAGTCATATTATAGAATATCCAATGAAACTTTTGAGTCTGAGATCCTACTAGCACTATGGACCAACATAGACCAATTCATGGCATTGAGCAGAGTCCAAAGGGTCCAAATTCTTTGGAGTGGTGTTTATTACAAAGATCTTTCTTTCCACAAATCTCAGTAGAATTCGCTAAATAGAACCCTCTTTTACAGCTTGAGTGTAATAGATTGGGACCCACAGACCCTGTCTGTGCTCCCTCTTTGGCCTCCCGGTTCGATGGCTTGCACCGCACCAAAAAGGCCAGACACTCGTCTGCCGCAGCGGCAGCGGTCTCGAGCACGGTGCCAGGCGGGTGGTGGAGCAGAGGCTTCATGTTTTTCACCCTGCTGATAGGGTGGGGAGTCTTCGTGGATGATGGTGATGGATGGTGATGGATGGTGAGGATGATGATGGGCAGCAAACCATCAGGGTCACCTTCTATGCTCCTAGAGCCTCCATTCGGCAAGTACGGACCTCGAGCCTTTCGGGGCAACACTCGACCAGGCGAGGACGCCCCGTTGACGCCCTTGCGAGCAGCGCCTTGGGTGAACTGAGATGTGTCTACTTACACATGTCAGCTGTGGAATGTTTGGGGTTACGGCCCAGGTCACTTGGGATCTAAAGGTGAGAGGAAGTGCCACTGGTGCCAGCCGAAAGATGCAGCACATCCAGTCTTCATCGAATTTCCAAGCTGCTTTGGCCGATGGATCGGTTACTTGCTGGGGTGATCCAGATGCTGGGGTGGACAGCAGCAAGGTGCTTTCGGAACAAGTTTCATTGATGTGTACGGAACAAGTTTCCAGGAGCTCTGAAGGGCTTGCTTTCAGATGTGCCAAGAAATGAATCATAGTGGATCATGAGCGCCCCTTCTCATCCCATATCATCCACTAAATCCTAATTCAGAACCACCGTTTCTTCCTTCGGACTCTCCCCCCACCTTCCACCTTGGGGTGACCAGATCTGCTTTCTGCAGCCGAGCCTTCCCGAGGCCTTCGAGGCGGCCTGGAAGTTGGGAGCCTCCTCTCCCGAAGGCATCCGAAGGCTGAGAAGGGAACCATTTGAAGCCCCCCCAAAAAAAGGACCAACACCACTACGGCGTGCGGGCTCCCTCCGGGCCTCCGCAGGTTCAGCTGTTTTGGTGACCCCAAGGAATGGAAGGACCGGTCGGTCTTTGGGTCCCACATGTGATATCAGAGTTGTGGGACCCCAAAAGGCGGGTTCAGGTTCGTTCTTGCATCGTTTTCTGCCTCAATACGTGTCTTTTTGGCTTTTCTCTGGCGGGGATGGTGTGTTGATGGGTGGCGGGTGGGATCCTTCGACCCTCCCTCAGCTTAGCCTACTTTCGAGGCTCCGGCAGCCGATGGAGTGGATCTTGGATTTGGAGCTTGGTTGGAGCCTTGGGTCATTGGAGTCAGCGAACAGTGGCTTTCGGTTTGAGGGTTCCAACGAAGGATGTGAGGAACGCACATTTGGGACGAATCACAAGGGCCGGACATGGAAGAATTGAGACACAGTAGAAGGCACTGGACACTGAATCAACATCATGAAACCTTGCCCTCCCTCCATCATGGAAGCTGAACCCCAGTGATTGTTTGAGATAGACAGTCTTCGAGGATCTTCGGTGTTTTTTTCAATATCTATCACTATCACTGGGAGGGGTGTTCCAAACTCTGGGAAGAGCTAGACTGGGTTTCACATCGCGTCGCGGCACGCGTGGGCGTGGACACGGACACTGCGGACATGTGTGGACGGACCTCATTTGTCATTCGTTTGGAACGACTTGCCAGTTGGTAGGAATGGCCAGAGCGGCCAGAAATCGCGAGTCCCTCCCACGGTTTGCCGAATAACTCCCGCACTGTTTAAGCAAGGATTATGATACATACTTGTACTCGCTAACATGGAAACCAATCACTTATGCATTTGTATATGATTCATGCATCATCGTTTCATGGATTATGATGCCTTCACATGCATCATGGTCCAATTGTCTAAGGGATTCTTTCTTCCAGAACCAGAGCATCTTCACTTCGCCATCCCCCATGCGATGCATGCGATGTGCTCAGATCTGCCCCAACCACCAGCCTCCTCGTGGCCAACAGCATTCGTTTTGTGCTGTTGGATTTTCCATAAGGGTGTCGACGTGCCACAGTGGAAGAGTGGTCGAGGTTTGCTTCCGTAGTTAGACATGTATTCAGTATTCAAATTCTGAGTCCTATAGAGACCTAGAATCGTCACCGGACACTCTCCTCTGGGTTTTTGGCTAGATCTTAGTCCTGATCTCCAAGATCTCTCAACCTTTTTCTGATCTCCAGGTCTCTCGGGAGATCTATGTGTGGCTCTTTTGGTTCACCATCTTTTGGCAGTTCGGGGCCCAGACCGATCTGACGCGGTGCCGGTGCCGTGTAGGGTAGTCGTTTGGGGGGGAACCGAGCACGGATGGCACGTCTTTGAGGGAACCAGTCACAAAGCCCGGGAAAAGAGGATAAATTCCACAAAAGTCCTTTCAACTGTAGTTTTCAAGTGCGTCTTGCAAGTGCCTCACTCCTTCCCTGCCTTGAAATGGCTGGATGGTTGAGGGTCACAAGAACTTGCAGTCGCAACAGAGTAGGCTGAAAGCATGGACGTTCCGTAGCCGGGTTCCAGGCTTGGGCCTCATGAGCCCCCCCGCCGTGCACAGCCTGGAGGAGCGTGTGGTCGCGCGGCGATGTAGGGAAGGAAATGCGCTGTCAACGACGGCTGCGTAGGTTTGATCTGCAAAGAATCCGTGTGTTTGCTTGTTCCTTGGGGTGCGCTGAGAAACCGCGTGTGTTGAACATGAGGGGGAGGGTCTTGGTCCTTGGTGCTCAATCATTCCACGGGTTTGGTGAACAACAGGTGGATGTCTACGTCGACGTAAACTGACCAAGCGGACGGAAAACAACATGACAATGATTTGAGCAGGGCGACTTGGGTTATTTCCCAGACGCTTCATGGATAGGTATGACCTAGATTCACCCTTCGTCTTTGAGTTTGGGATTGGTGTTGATTCGCGTGACATCAGCGGAGACGACTTGCGTTGACCGGAAGCGCCACCAATGCTGGGCCTCTTCTCCTGCATGTCTCGGCAGGATTTGAACACCGTGCTGCATCAAGAGGTGCACTGGGAGAGGGCTCCGGATTCCAGAGCCTGCCTTTTGCACTTCTTCGACCTATATCATGTAAAGGAAAGTCCTCATTTCTAAAGTTTCCGTCAGGGTGTTTCACATGTTTTACATTTGTGTCACCATGTTTCACCAAGTCCAAGGCTGAAAGATTTCAATGCATCTCAAGGCCATAAAGGTCGTCACAACAGTGAAACATGTCACATGTCTTCTTGCCTTTGAGGAATCAGTGGGGTCCAAGGTGAAGTCATACAACACCCGTATTCCGCGTGATTTCGAGGAATTCATGTTCTTCGTGTAATGATGTATTTGTTTTAAATGGAATAACATGAATGAACAACAATATTATATTCGAATATATGATTAGCTTCCAACGTTGTCTGCTTGAGAGAGGGAGAGAGAGACGTTTTTGTGTGCTTTACATTGCATTTGCCCTTGGTATTAACAACCGTGGTCATATCAGTTCATCAGGGAGATGACCTTCAAACAACCCCATGTAGATTACCTTCACAAGGGCAAGCACTGTACAGCACTGTATCATATTGGTTTTCATGTCATTATTGTTGTGGTAAGTATGTCATTATTAACCATTACATTGTTTTCCTGGGGGTTCAATGGTTATCATGCAAAACTCGTGTTTATGTTTTTGCTAATGGGCTTAAAACCGCGCGTGTAGTGAAGCTGAGTTTGGATACGTTCCTTATGGGGGTAATAGCGTATGTGTGGACGACATGCGTAGTTTGTGCTGTCGGTGTCATTAGGACCCCCTGCGTTTTTTGCAATTGTTTGAAGGTGCACACTCACACGCATTGGAAGATTGAAGATGGGGACACGGGGGGGTTTGGGGGGAGGGGGGGTTGGGTGGGGAGCTAATGATGTTCAATGATGTTCATGTCCTGTGCCGTTGATGGTATCTGGCGTTTGTGTAAGGAGTCGGTCCACTAGCTTGCGTTCACGTGAAGGTGACGGTATAAACCCAAATATCATGAAGTCCATTCGACAGTGGCAATGGCGCTGGCACCAGAATAAAGACGATCTTCTGACGATGCTGGGTCATAAGTTGTCGGACCGACTGTGATGATGATGCTGGAGGATGAAAAAGTGTGTTTTTCTGCACGAAGCAAAGGCTTCGCAGCAGTTGGACGTGAAAATCGCAACGATGTTTTTCGTTGTTTTCATGGACTACATGCTGCAACAAACCTTTCACATCAATGCAAAGCACAGTGACACGCCCGACATTCGTCATCATTGACCACGTGAAGATCTGGCAAACGTTTGCAACCACACGCGCGGAAACGAGCCCGGCGGGATGTTTTTGCGCATGAGCCAAGGTCCCGGCAGACACACCGTTTCGACCCTGCTCACGAATGACCCGCTGCTTCGTCTTCAGCCCCGATCGGAACCAAAGACGTGACAACTTGGACCGCAGGTTCCTCGCATCAACAAGATCCTCATGGAGAACTTGCCTCATGGTATCGGCTCCTTGGAGCTATCGCGATGCGAAGTGCTGGAGTTGCGTCGCGTCGGTTCATGGAGGTTTCGGCGCGGGCGTCGGTTGCTCTGGTACTCTAAGTACTCTTGCGCAACTGCTCCTTTCGAGCTGCTCCATTGTACTTGGGTGGAAATCCGCTGAGGGAGTAAATATTGAACCCAGGATATGCAGGAATTTGGGGTAACCGCCCAAATTTGGAGAAGTAGCTTGTAACCCAAATCCACGGAGTCGGCGGTCCGATGATGTTCATGGTGACGGACCCTAGTGGTCATGTGAATTCCAATTTGATCCAATTTGTAGGAGGTTGAACGATTCTTTGATGCAAAGAATTGTGAGATGTTGATCGACAAACAAGTCCAAACACTGAATCGCTTCGAGGGGTCGAAATAAAGTCTGTCATCCCAGATAATATTGTACTGTAAGTTGTACTCTATAAAGCATTCCCTGACAGACCATCCAATCATGTACTAGTCACACACTTGGCCAAGAATGCAGTATTTACGTCTTTGGTGAGACATGTTGTTATTCACATACTTGGTGCTACAGAATGCAAATATATGGAACATTTTCGACTGAGAAGGGTGCGTTGGAACAGCCTGGGTGCACCCTTTGGCAGGCATGAACATTCGTCGTCCGTGCCCAGTTAAGAACCAAAGCGTGTGAAATCCGCGTGAACTTATGTAGTCTAGTTTTTTTTGGTAACTACGACAAACGCGGCGTGAAAATGCGTGAAATTGGTTTTGGTCAATTTTTGAACAAGTGGCATGTTTTGCACAAGGCCGAGTTGGGTTGAATTAAGGGGTGTGACAAGACAAGTCTGTCAGACAGTTGAATCGTCCGAGTTATGGTTTTGAGAGGTGGTGTTATTTGTTGTTTTTGGCGGGCTTGCTGGTATTCTTGCTTTTGAACAGCCGCGTGGATTTCATTTGTGAGAAATCCCTTTGCTTTCGTTGGACGTTTTCATTGAATTTGATTGATAGATTAAAGCAAAGAACGCAACACTTAGCCTATATTATATATTTTAATCTCTTAAAGTATAGTGTTTTCCTCAAAAATATTGATCTCTCAATCGAGTTCCGAACGTGTTTGTGCACCAGATCTCCCCGTCACAGCCCTCGAGCCGAACATGGCGGTTTTCAGCGAATCCGAGCGCCCCAATCAACCCGCCCTCAGGTGATTGCAAAGCTTTAGTTGAGCATCGGCCAGAAAATTTGCAGAACATCAGCAAGGCCCAACCGTTTTCCGCATGAACACAAGCTGAGGGGTCGATCCAGCTCGGCTTCACGAGTAATAAATACATGGGGCATCAGGGGTGATCAGTGTATGCCACCACGGGGCGCCACCAGGCGCACTGCAACGAGATGCCAATGACCCCTTTGGAGGCGCATCGTTCTTCCCCGGGGAAGACTCGAGAACTGCTTTCCGCTGGTGCGGCGCGCTTTCCGCGGGAGTGCCACAGACGCTCTTTTTTACGTATATTGTTATATATATATAGTGTACTATAATGCATTGTGACACATGTGTAGGATGTCTCTGAACAAATCCATATGTTCGGGTTGAGTTGATTGACTGTCGTTTTGAACTGAGTGCAAAAATACTGCTGTGAGTGCATCATGGCAACTGCAAGGAATAGTTTGTTCACCATAGTGCTTTTGTTGCCTACTTTAGCAAATGAATGAACTATATATATATATTATATATATATATTTATGTATATTTGCATAATTCTCGTTCAACATGAGGGACCTGCACAACCTCACACCCCTTTTTTAGCATGGACAACCCTATTGGGTCAAATTGTTGTTCTCTCCGTCCCAATGTACTTATCGGCCGCACGAAAGGTCAGCCGCCCGCCTGGCCGCCCGGCAGGTCTCACCGGTGGGCTTTTGGGCCAAAGTGGTGTTCCTCGATGGGATCTCAAGTCTGCGGATCCAAAAGCTTCGGGTCCACTGCCCGAGGATGGTGGGCACGGGCACGGGGGGTTCTGCCGGGGTGGGAGGCGACCAGATATTCCAAAAGCAACAGTTTGATGTGGTCCCGAGTCCCGAGCTGCATTGAAACGACAAACATTTTTGGCCACCAGACTGGACCACCCAGACCGCTTCCCGAGTCGAACCCGTAGCACCGGTCGAATCCCATGGTGATTTTCGGGGAAGCCTCAGGAGAGCAGAGGGAGCAAACCCGAAGAACAAGAAATCATTGCGGCACTGGACCTTCATGGTTTTCCATACACACACACTCCATGTTTTCCTGGCATCGTTGCCCCCCCCATTGACCAAATGACGTAAATATGACAGTCCCAGTGGCAGTCCCAGACAGGTCGTGTTTGGGAATGGATGGAATATGGATGGATGGTTGTCCCAGTCAAGAGGATTGACCGTCCCAGTCTGGGAACCCGGTGGAGGTGACCTGGTCTGGTTGTTCCAAGCATGGCATGGTGACCAATTCGACAGGATCCACGCCGTGGTGCTCCACCTGGTGCGATTTGGTGCAAATGTGTTGTTGGCAGCACCATGCTGCTTACGTCCAAACTAAGCCCGAGATCAGGAATTGCAAGAATCCTTGTTCGAATATGAATTGAGATCAACAGAGTCCACATCCGTCCAAAATACAATATTCTAACCAACCTCAACGCTCATCCGTCCAAAATACATTGATAAATGAATTCTAACCAACTTTGTTCGGCTGTTTTCATGGACAGTGCACCTGCAGTTTCTACATGAACTCCTTTGGTTTGGACCCTTGTCATCTCCCAGGTCCTTCCGGAGAAGACCCACCTGGAGCGTGAGTGGCCCGAGCGCTCCGCCTCGGGGCAACGCTCGGGGCCTCGAGATGCGGACCTTTAGCCGAAAAGGAGAGGGAAGAGCAACCAGCAGCTGATTCAGTTCCAAAGGGGTGCTTCATGGGTTGGGGGGGGTGCCCATGAAACATCGGGACTAAACACCACCCCTTTCTCTAACTCCTGCCAGTTGACAGTTGATGCCACCCCCAGAGGCTGGGCTATCGACATCGGAGGGCAGTTCTCGGATCTGAAGATCTGGGCTCGAGCCGTCAAGGCGCCATCGACGCTCGTGGCGATTGGCTCGAGCGGTGCAAGCTCGCGCGTCGAGCGGCGCAAGCTCGTGAAGCGTTGTCTCTCTTTCGGAAGATCTGGAGAGACCTTGTGTTTGAAATTTGAAGAACAAACAAAAGAAGGAACACACGGGAAAAAAGGTGACCGTTATTTTGGAGAGTTTTGCATTTTCTGTGTGTGAGGCAATCTTGTTTTTTTTCACAGAGACCTGGCAGCCCTGTGAACCACTGATAGACATCCCAATCAAGTGATTAGTCGATTTCCGGTGCACCTTGAATGTGTGTTTTCTCTTTCTCAGATACTGGTGAAGCTGGGGTGTGGACGGAGCGACAGCGAGCGTTTTGAGTGTTGTCATGGAGTTCGAAGATGGAAGTCCTGGATGTTAGGTGAAACATGGTGAAGCCTTTTTTTTTGCATTCTCCAACCAGTCACTCAAGTTCTAGATATCATCTCGTGGACCAGTTACTTGGAACAGGTTGGGTGCCCAGAGGTGGCGGTGGCAAGCTTGACTTTTTGGGCTACATTACTACCTGGAAACCAAACAACCAGAAACAGATGGATGTGCCCCCAAACAGCCACTTCCTGTGTAAAGGATCTCGGATCTCAAGTGCCATTTATATCCATTTATTTATTGCCGGAACCATCATTTGTTGGTTGGGACTGGCATCAGGTACATCATAGGAAGCGTAGAACAACCACCCCCTTTGTCGTGGATCCGCCGATGATTCAGCCGTTCAGCCGTGCCGGTGGTGGTGGCACGCACTTTCAGGGGCAAGATGAGCTTCTCAACGGCTATGTGTGCTGTGGCCGACCTAGTCAGCAGATGGAGACCCGACAGCCAGCCATTGACCCCCGTCCCGCGTGCTTGCACGTGAACTCATGTGCAAAAACTACAGCGTTTTGATGACACGAAACATGAATAAACAAACCACGAGCCAGAGGAGTTCAGAGTTGAGAAGACAAAGTTGACACTAGGATGATCTATAGCAAGGAATATTTGAGGCCTTAGCAAAAATCGAAGCATGAATCAACAAAACATATGGATGCTCCGATGCTCCCATGTCAGCCGTATGGACAAAAGCCGGACATCTCATATGCCTGAAGACTCCGATTCCGTTGCACGATGTGTTCACACCATATCGATTCCATTGTGTGCATCGATTCCGATGTTCGGAGGGTGTGTCGTGTCTCCGGACCTGAGCTCAGGTCGTAACCCGTATCATGTGGGGATCCAGCTGTCTGTCTTGTGTCGCTTCCTCAGCGATGAGTCTTTCGAAATCGGAACAGTTGAAATTGGAGTGGGTCGGAAGCTGAAAAGGTGTGAAACTCCCGGCTCTAGTTGCTGTTGTCTAAAGCATTGACAGCTGACTTTAAACAAACAGAGCACATTGAGATGGCGGTCTGGTCGATGGTCAACAGACAATGGGGGCTGACCTGGTGACCTGGTCGGAGAGATTTAATGGCTTGGAAACGGAAAACACGTGGTTCCAATGTTTTGGTTTGCAGTTTGAATTGTTCATTCCTGTAGAATTTTATAGAATTTTACTTCGGCCAGCAGCCAGCGGCCAGCTATCCTGCATTCAGACACGCCTTCCTGGACACATCCAATCATTCAAAACCCACCATCCAAATGCATGCTCATGTTTGATCGGCAGCGCTCATGTTGGAGGGTCCCCAAAAGGATTTCCCTTTCCCTTACAAAAATGCGGGGAAATCCGATCCAACATGACCGGCTGATCTTCTGATCCACTGGATCAGCGCCCGGCTGATCCTTCGTGACCGAATCGGACCGAGGCTCGGAGCCGGAGGGCTTCTCGGGCAATCTGACGGCGCGGGGGCGAACCGACGCCGCGCCTGGAACGAGCGGAGCGGGACGGGAAGAGGCGTTGGAGATCAGACGGTGAACCAATCACCTCCCACGTCAGAAGGGAAAAAGAGATGGGCCATGGGGGGGCGGTGATTCATCAACATGTCTACATTATGGTGGATTCATGTGGAGAATGAATGGGAGGAAGAGAAACCGTGAATGAATGGGTTTGAACGGGTGTGCACAAGGGTGGGAACAGAGATGCTTTGAATGAACAGATGTGAACAGAAGAGTGGAAGCGTACCTAGAATACAAGTGTTGGTGCCAGGATCCAGAGCAATATGATGACGACATGACTGGTTAGTTCTTGGTGTGATGTCGACATGCATGCATGAAGCATGACTGGGATGGGTGAAAGGTCTTCTTCATGACTTGGGTCCGACGGAAGACGTTGCGACTTGCTGCAGTTCAATCCAGTGGATGTGGGAAGTTTTGCTAAAGAAATCTAAAGAAGAGGATCCCACATAGATAGCAACACTGTCCAAGACATGTTGCATGTGTTGAAGGGGAATCCGCGTTTCGATTCAGTTACGGTCACCAGAAGGATACTTCGAGACTATCTTGGACCTTGTCAGAAGCCAAAATCAGAGGGCCTTTAGTTGTGGTGGTGGACATGACGTGATGTTTCACGCGTGGGGCACGCATCTTTTTTGGAGACAACGGAGACGGAAAGGGCCCGGTCTTTGGAGCAGAAGGTGCGTCATTGATCATTGCATCAGACGGAACACCAGTCCAGTCATACATAGGCAGCCTGTCCAACACAGCCTGTGAAGCGACCAGTTCAGCACGATCCATCGTGGCCAGGTGGACGACTTTCACATTGATCAGGTGAACCTGAACACGCACTGGAGCTCCGTGCAGATGTGCCTCGTCGGGTCGAGTCGCAGGGTCGGCCGGATCCGTGAAGAAAGGGGTGGTGCGGTGCCCATGATCCATTCACTGGGTCTAAAAGCCCGTTTCGACATGTTTCGACCAATTTGAACTGGGAGGATTAGGGAGGATTCTTCTCAACTACGGAACTGTTGATGAACGACATCCCCATATTTGGATTGTAAAACCATGTAAAACCTATTAACCTATTAAAACTTCTCGCGCCGCGCGCTGAATCCCAGCTTTGTGAAGCCGTGCCGTCAGCTTCCACAGTTGTGGCAACGATGACCTCTTCATTTGGGGGGGGAAGGCCCAAGGATTCCTAGGGTTTTCTTGTTCTTCATCCACCAGTTTTACCTTAAAGAGT